TAGAGTAGTATATTTTTAAAGCTCTTAAAGAAACATTAAAACCAATCTACACAGATTCAGTACTTTACAAGTTTATAAGCAATTTTTTATTTCATTCATGTGAAAAGTCAGTTAGGTAAACGAGGTATTATTCTGTCCTGCCCATAGCCCCTAACAAATAGGTGGGACAAGGAAGAACCACGAGTCATATACCAGATCCTTTGCTCCATATCCTAAGTCTTTTCTCACTATCCCACATCATGTATGATTATCATATGGTTTACTAAGAGCAATCACATTTCTTACCTCCTTTGAGTATTCATCCTGGAAATCTATGAACCTCATCCTGCTGGGCAGACAGCAGAACATTAGTACTTGTTTATAGATGACTCAGTAAGATCACTGACCTTTCCAAAGATGACATAACTAATAAATACTAAAATTGTAGCATATCCAGAAAAGGATGACCAAACTCACAAAGGGTCAGAAAACTAAGTAATGTGAAAAGTGACTGAAAAATCAAGGATGACTAGAAATAGAGGGAATGTATACAAAAATTTTGCCATCGGCTATTTGAGGGACCACTGTATAGAAGAGTCAGATCTGTGCCATCTGTTCCTAGAGGTTAAAACCAAAGGCCATTCAACAAATATTTATTGGTTATCTCCTCTGTGCCAGATGCTGGTGCTACACTGGGTATACAAAGGTGTGGAAGAGAAGTCCCAATCGAAACAAGTACAGATCAGTAGAAGAGACAAGAAAATAACTACTCCAAAAGCTATGGAAACAGAAAATAATGACTCTTTGAAAGGGGTTAATAGAGAATAATTCATTGAATGGAAGAACAGAAGTTTCAGAGGTAGACAAGGAAGGATTAACAAGGAAGCCTTAACAGAAAGAACAGCATGTTGAAAGACATGGAGACATGAAGTCCTGCAGTTAATCTGCAGAGACAGAACACCAAGTACATATCAGAGGTGCCAAAAGATGAGGCTTTAAATTGAGGGCAGGGGAGGTCAGATGTAAAGTACACAAAGGACTTCACAATCTCCATGCCAAAGAGTTCAGACTTTAATATTCAAGCAATGGAACACTAACAAGAGGTAATAAGTAGGAGTGTTACATGCTCAGAAAAAAATATGTAAGAAAGGTCATTTCAACAGGTGTACAGACTTCTAGAGGGTAACAGTGGAAATAAAGCGATTAACTATGGGACCACTGTTATCGTTCTAGGTGGAGGATGATGAAAAGATACAGATTGATATTCAAGAAATAGCTAGGAGAAAAAAAATCAAACAGAACTATTGGTTAAGGGAATAAGGGAAAGAGGAGGATCCAGGATGACTTCTAGATCTCAACTTGGGTGAGTAGTGAACAGAAAATGCTCGAGACAGGTTTAACATAGGAAAACAAGTTCATAGAATCATTCCTACAACGTAAGACCAAGGAATGGTTTGTTATGGTCTGGAAAACAGGATGAGAGAAGTAGGATGAAAGAGGAGCAGAGATGAGTTTTCCTTTGTTCTTGTGTAATATAAGGTACCTATTCAGTGTAGCTGCTGAGCGAGACAATAAAGTGCAGTCTAGAGAGTCACTAGCTTACAGGTAGCAAATGATGTCAAGGAGAGTGTGCAGAATGATACCAATTTTAGATACCAACATTCAATGAGAGTGAATAAAAAATCTGAAAAATAAGAGAAAGGATGACTGGAGATAGCATGATGCCAAAAAAGGCAAGAGGAAAAAGTTCAAAAAGGTTGGAGAGAGTGAAGATTGAAGTCCAGTGCACTGCATAATGCACTTTACTAACATGGTATTCAAAACAGGAATAGACTGCTTTGTGAGACAATGAATCACTCCATCAAGTACAAGATTAAGGTTTACCCCCCTGCCCTGAGGGAGGGAGAGGGGCACGGATGAAAACAGGGTGGGCTGAGAGCACAATGGACTGAGGGTGGAGGCGATGAGTGCTCTGGTAGTGGGAGAACTAGGGCAACCACACCTGAGGAGAGAAATCCTATACTGTCAAAAAAAAAATTAAGAAGGATGTAAAACAACGGTACTTCATTTAAGGGAAAAAAAAAAAATTCAGGCCCAATAAAGCCAACAATAGAGAATGTTAACAAAATAATCCCTACCTTAAATGAAAAGTGTAGCTGCATGAACTCAACACTACGCCTCCAAATTCTAGGTCAAGTGTAGCCTCAAAACGATTATGACAGTTTTGTCAAATAGTCTTTTGCAATCTGACCAATGAATGGGACTACTCTAATAAAAAAAAAAGAAATTTAAAGACAGTTTCTACCTATTTCATATAACTCACAAGTAAGCAGTACTGTATTACGACTTTTCACTAATTCTGCTCTTAGGGTCCAAAAAATTGCTGGAGAAAGTACGGAAATAGTTGATATATTTTTCTTCAAATTCAAACTGATTTGAAATGAGTTCTCAACACTGCCTTCCCAACTTTCTCCATTTCCTGCATCCCAGTTTCAGCCTATTACCATCCAGTGACCCCTTCACTCTGAACTAAGATGGCATGCATTGCAAAGGTTGCTCTGACATGTCAACTTTCCTGCTCTTTCCTTCCTTCCTAAAGCCAGTGCGCCTCATCACTCCCAGCAGTCCACCACTGCTGACTATTCTCCCTCACCACTCCTTCCCTCCCTTTTCCTCCACCTCCTCTTGTATACATCCACCCCAGGTTGGGAGAAACATCTCCATGTATCCTCTTGCCCCACACCCCAATTTTCTTTTACAACCAAATAAATGTATCTCCCTGCCCCTACCACCTACTCACTGCAATCACCTTATAAGAAGGTTTGAATGCCTTGGTAATGGGTGTGGCGTGGTACCATATATCCAAAGAAGTGAGATCCTAGACCTCTGAAACACACAGGGTATTGTCGACACCTCTACAAAAATTAAAAAATTGAAACCACTGACACATGATATCTGACAGCTTGTTTTAGTTGCCATTTCCTCAGTTCTCAATTCCTTTGATCTCACTGCAGTTTATGACAGAGCTGACCAGCCCTTCCTTATTGCAGTGACTCCTCTCACTTTTGCAACCAGACAGGACAATTTGTGGAAAGTACACTGGACCAAGAGTCAAATCTGTGTTCTGGACCTAACTAAACCACTAATTAGCTGTGAGCATCCCAATCTCCCCCCCTATTCATCCCTCAGGTTTCACTTCTTCTGAAAAACCCTGATCCCCGGAAGTTAGGTCCTGCAGGATACACTTTCCCCAAATCTGTTCTTTACAGTGCTGATCACAATGACTTAATTGTATCATTAGTAGTTGAACAGCTATACATCAGTATGATATACCTATACACCAGACTGTAAGCTCCATGAAGGCAGGTTATATCTGAGCAATGTCACGCTTATTAGTGCAAAATAAGTCTATCAATACAATTAATTCTGAAAGAGATGTTATGACCATTTCCTGACACTGCTTATAATTTTTAACCTATGTAATAAAATTATTAGCACTTTTTACTCAACAAAATTACTGACAAAATTTTTAATTGGTTTAATTTTTTAACCCTAACATACACATAATCTGAACAATATATAAAATTCTCTCATGTAAAATTAAATGAGCTTAAGAGAGAACTTATCTTCCAAGACATTTACAGTTCTCATGCCCACCCACAAAAATAGAAAGAGTTGGATGAAAATGTGTGTTTGAAACCATATGCACGCTGAAAGTGCCAGTTAAGAGTTAGATACTAAAACACTGTATGCTGTTTAAACGCTGATAAAAACCCACTGGTACTTCAGGTTTAAAGCTTTTGACTTTGGCAAACGTCATGAGCTATACATACCCTGAAAGAAAATCAAAAGAAAATTTATCAACCACCGTTACACTGCAGTGCGACTTTAAATATTTCATATAAATCAGGGAGAAACAGAGATTTAGTGACACAGAAGTTGCCAGATCAGATTAGAAGACTTTAAAATGCAAAAAATTTCAGATCTCCAGCAAGCAGGTGAAAGTTTTGTCAAGTTTTATGATATACCACTTTGTCAAACAATTTAAACAGATTACACGCTAATTTGCCCTTCAACTGCTGAGTGTGTCCCACTCCTCAATTACACTGCAAGGTCTTTACAGGCAAGCTTGGCATTTTGTTCCATTCGTCCCTGCACATAAATAGGAATGCAACAGATTTCGGCAATCTATTCGTTTAAATCTGAAAACGATTTTTAAGGATAAATCGACGTATATATTGCCGCTGGAAGCCAACCTACAAATACTTTTTTAAAAATCCAATGCTTAGACAATTCCCTAGGTCCAGAGAGGTTAACAGGCTGTAAATACAGTTGTAATCCAGGGAAGAGGCGTTTCATAACGGAAACATGAACAGATATAATCACTTGGAGCCGATCTCCAAGGCATCCTCATCATTAACTCCCCACCACCGGCTACGGGCAGGCAACGGTGCCCCTCTGACCCTCTCCCTCTTCCGCAGCCTTGGGGCCACAATCGCGCACAAGGAGTCCCTCAAGATGTGCCAGCGCTTCCCTGGGACTTCAACTGGGAAATCCCAGGCCAGGGAATGCGGAGTTCAAACCCCCCTCCCCCTCCCTTCGCAGAAAATTAATGAATTGGCCGTCCGATTGTTTATTTAATGAGGTGTGGAGTGGAGTGGCCTCTACTGGTGCTGGTGTGAGCACAAGAATGTCCCACTCTTACAAGTGGGATGAGCCTGGGGGATGGGAGGAAGGCGAGGGGTGAACCTGCCTCCGGGTACAAAGCGCAGAACAGAACCCCCGAGCCCCCGACGCGCCCCTGCGGCCGCCCCTCCCCTGGCGGCGCCCCCGCCCGCCTACTCCCCTCTCCACCGGCGCGACCCCCATTCTCCTCGGCCACCGGAGCCGGGGCGTAGAAGTTCCTGCACCTTTCCTCCCGGATCCTACACAAAAACCCCGCAGCGGCCGCCGGGGTCCGCGCTGCGCCCCCGCTCCCCCCACCCGCGCCCCCCGGGCCCGCGCCCCAAGCCGCCGCTTACCTGGGGACGGCGGCGGTGCCCCGCTCCTGGCGGCGGCGCCCGGCACTCGGCGCCCGAGCAGCAGCAGCAGCAGCAGCAGGCAGCAGAGCCAGGAGGAGGAGGTGCCGAGGAGTCGCCGGGCTCCCCGCTCCGCCGCCATCTCTTCCCCGCGAGCGGCGGCGGCGGCGCCACGGAGCCCTCGCCGCCTTCCCTCCCGCGCGCCTCAGCCGGCCCCTCGCCGCCGGCTCGGCTCCCGCGGCCGCCGCCGCCGCTCCAGCCCGGCCCGGCCCGGCCCGCGCGGCCCCTCTCGCGGGAGGGGAGACTCGGGGGCGCCTCCCTCCTGCCGGGGGGCGAAGAGGGGAGGAGAGAAGAGGGGGGAGTCAGTACATTCCGGGGCTGGGTGGGGGGTTCGGTCTCCAGGTTCCAGGCGCCGCCACCCGCCGCCGACTCCGGCTCCACACACCAGCGCGAGGGGGGCGGAGACCGCGAGCGACGGGGGTGGGGGGGGGCCCGGGGCGCGCACCCCGCGCACGCGCAGGCGCGCGCCGCCCTCGCCCGCACCCCCTCGGCGCCGCGCGCGCCCCGCCCCCGCTCCAATCCCGGCGGTCGCCTCGCGGGCCTGGGCGGCGGGCCCGTCCCCTCCCCCGGCTCCCGGGAGCGGGCGCGGGGGGCGCGGGGGGCGGCGGGAAGCCCCGGGGAAGCGGCGGCTCGGTAGCGTCCGCCGGCTCGTCGCCGCCGCGCGCCCCCGCCTCCTGCCCCGGCCCCGAGAAAAATGCCCCCTTCTCACCGCCCCCGACGCCGCCGGGACCCGAGGCGAGGGCGCTCCACGCCCGGGCGAGTCCGGGAGGCCGGCGCGGGCGCGCACCGCTCCCGGCCTGGCCTGGGCCCGCGGCCTCTGGATGGGGCCTCTGTGGAGACCGAGTGGCCTCCGGGAGGAAAGCTGGGTGCGCGGAGGGCCGGCGCGGGGATTTATGTGCTCGCCAAAAACAATAGCGAGCCCGCCCGGCTCAGGCGGGTCCTGGCGCGGCTCCCGCGGGAGGGGGCCCGACGCGCCGCCGCTGACCTCCAGCTTCCAGGCCGCCCCCCGCCCGCGCGCTTCCCCCGGACGGGGCCCGCGCCCCCGCTCGCGTCACTCGGCGCCGGGCCAGGGAGCCCGAGCGCAGACAAAGGTGCCCGGGGCCGCGGCTCTGGTGCGTGCGGGGAAGCAGGCCGAGCCCCTGGCCTCGCGGGGGGAGTCCTCTGGCTGGAGCTGAAACGGTGTACCTCCACCTTTGAGGGGCGCTTCGCCTTTTTGTACCTGGAAATCACGTCTTTCGCCCCAGACCGGGAGCAAGAGGGATGTGGTTTTAAAGCCCTTGGAAAGGGTGAGGCAGCAGTCAGGCGACACGAAGTTAGGGGAAAGCAGTTTTGTAGTTCCACGACTGAGGAGAATACTGATAATTATATGAACTGCTCCCAGAGGGAAACATTTTAAGAAAGTTATGCACTAGAGAGTCATGTGTAGCTGTTAATAGGAGTTGGATTTTTAGTCACTGTTAGGTGTAGTCAGTAACTAAAATGTGTTGCTTCCCACAAGAAGATGGCTTTTTTGCTAACATCCACTTCCCTCTGTGCCTTTTCGTAATTACTTTTTTTTAGATATATTCTTTTATAATGAGGTGCCAAAATAAGCGATGTAAGGCTTCCGTTAACATCAGAAAGGAAAGCCCTCAAAATGTTCGTAAAACCTCTTAAATCATCAAAACGGTGAATTAGGGACCCTCATCCGAGTCTTTTCAAACAATTGACTCAAGGGAGCAGACACACGCTTATTGTTTTCCACTAGGGAAACAATTTAAATACCTTTTTGGTTTTGGTTGGAGTTGTTAACCAGCAAAAACACTTCTCTAAATACCCTTGATTGACCTGTTAAATTAGAAATAGATTGCCTCCCAATTACTTCATAAGTATTTGCTTAATTAAGCCTTAATAATCACATCATTATTGAGTATTCTGAGATAATGTGAAAAGTTCTTTGCAAACTATAAATTGTCTCGATTTGTTAATTTTCAGATATGTTTTCTAAGTCCGGAAAATTTTCATTATTTTTAAACTGAAATGCATAATGTGACTTCTAAGATGATGCTTATATTTATCTTCAATTTTAAAAAATGGGTAAGTTATGGCTAATAAAGTGATCAGATTGATTATCTTGTATCATTTCTGTGAACTGTTACTAGCCTGCTGTCAAAAGCAGGGTTAAGTGAAAAGTTTAAAGCACCTTCTGTAAAATGGGGTGACTAAGTAATTTTTTTTTTCTTTGTGGGACCCTCACATGTGGCCAGGGAACAAACCAGCGCTGCAGAGGCTGTGGGCAGCCTCGCAGCCCAGTGCTCAACCATTGCACCACCAGGGGAGGCCCCGACTAAGTCATATTTAATCTAACTTGTGATTAAATCACAATTTTAATGAAACCTACTCTAATAAGTCACCAGATAAAAAGTTACAGATTGTATAGCAGTTCAAAAGTAAAATAGTGAAGCAACGCAGACACATACTTGAATTAAGACCCTTCACCTTGTTCCAGTGTGGCTGATTGGATAGGCATTCCTTTTAAAAGTCATCACTTGGGGTCATGAATTTCAATCTCTCTCTCTGTCTCTCTCTGTCTCTCTGTCTCTCTGTCTCTCTCTCTCTCACCAAGGGCATCTCTTATTTATCATTTTCATTCTCCCAACAGATATTCAATTAATACCCACATTTATGTTGATTGACTAATCAACATATTTTATATAGTCTAAGCCATTAATCTATGAAGAGATAATAACACTTTGTTCATCTAAGTAAAGTTAGAACTTGAGATGTAGATTCAAGGAATAGCGCACAAAGAACTTTTAGACCAAAGGAAACAGACCAGTCATTGTATGTTGGTATAAGTTATCAAAATACAGGCCAAAATAACTAGACCAAATATCATTGTGAAATTTATTCTAAGTGTACTTTGACAGAAAAATTAAATGGTAATGAAGCCTATGAATATAAAACTCAGAATCTTACTCTCTATGGTAAAGGGATTTTCCCCTCAGCTTTAGTAGCAATATATAGTTCCGTGTTTTAATTGCTGGCCATAATTAGATCCTACAGCTGATTCCCTGGCAGAATTCCAGCATCCAAGGTAGAGAAGAAAAAAAGTAGCCCCCTGACCAATAAATTCCAGAAGAGAACACTTCCCAAGCACAGCAGATTTTACCTAGGAGTCACCCATGTTCTAAAAACATGTTTTTCTTCTGCGCAGACTTTGGCATTTTTACATCTGTCCTTTACATTCCACTAGATAAGAATTTTTCTCCCTTTCTCTTTCATAAAGCCACCTGTTTCAGGGAGCCATCTCTGATTAAGCCTAATTAAGAAGGATATGTACTCCTTAAGGACAAAGGCTACACAATATTGATTTTGCTTGTTATACATTGCTTAATCACATATATTTAGTTCAACAACAATCTATTAATTCAACAAATATTGTTGAGGACCTGTTATTTGCCAGATGTTGTGTGGGTACTAGGACAACAAAAGTATTAGTTCATTCACTCAGTATTTAGAAAAAATGCATGCTATGCCTCAGGGCCTGCCCCTTGTTAAGGGAATGCAATAGTGAGCCACATAGACAAAGTTCCTGGTCTAGTAGCAAAGATAAACAATTATAACAAAATGTGAAGAGCATTATAGTAAGGAAGATAAGGAGTGTGGGAAACATAATAAGTATCTAACCTGACTAAATTGTGTGAGAGGGCAAGAGGAGGGAGGGAGGAGGCATGGAGAATGAGAGAAGCAGCACTGGTCTCTAAGCTGAACCGGCTAGCAGGAAAGGATGGTAGCACTTAGCCACCCTGCAGAGGGATTTGACTTTGGATTTGCATTTTAGAAGGATCTTTCAAACTGCTTACTGGGGTGTATACTAGAAGGAGACAAGACCAAGAAAACCAGTCCAGGTTTTGTTAACATTAGTCTGGGCTAGTCTGGGGAGGAGGAGATTTAGAGGAGTGAACAGATAAGAGATTTAGAAGATAGAAATAACAGGGGTGTGTGGGAGAGAGATGTGAGTGACTCGGATTTCAATTTGGGCAGCTGAATGAAGATGGTAGTGTTTACTGAGAGGTGAGCAAGGAAGAGGAGTAGATGGAGGGCAATGTGAGTTTGACTTTGGACAAATTTAACTTAAAATGTCTATGGAACATCTGAGTAGAAGTATCAGTAAACTGTTTTTTAGGGTCTGGAATTTAGCAGGAGAACTGGGATAGAGAAAAGAATTATCAGCATATATCCCATGCCTGAATATAAGGTGTCTCTCAAAATGGATTATCCCCCGATACCTTTGCAAAACTGTGGTCAACTTAAATATAGGTGAAGTAATCAGGAATCTACTTATAGTATTGAATGTGTCGATTGAATAATACTGTAAATTACATATTGTGTAAAACATCATTTTAAAAGAACTTTATTGCAACTTTTCACAGTGCTTTAGTCATCACCAGAGTCACATTATGAGTCTGACTTAGTTTCCCAGGGCACATCATCTTAACTTCCATGTAAATTTTTGGTATTATATGTGATATCACTGGGAATTTTATTCCAGGCCACAGTATCTAATCATACCACATCACTCATTCTGTGATTATATTTACTTATCATATTGCTTTTTTTTTTTTAATAGAGGCATGTTTTATTTATTTATTTGTTTGTTTGTTTTGTTTTATACATGCACAGGGTACAGTCAGAAGCGCGGGAGGGTGAGAGAATTCACCAGAGCCAGAGCGGGGAGCAGAGCAGGCAGAAGGACCGAAGTACACTGCTGAGGGGAGCAGCGGGCGGCAGGAGAGGTCTGCGCGCCATGTGGGACCCTCCTCTGGTGGCCGGGGAGCAGCCGGGGATCGAACGGCGCCGCAGAGGCCGCGGGCAGCCTCGCAACCCAGCGCTCAACCGCTGCGCCACCGGGGAGGCCCTATCATATTGCTTTTTTACAGTGACCTCTAAAGTCTTATTTACAAGGACAAACAACACTTATAAATCTATTTTCCAGGAAATAATTTCTAAATCCGTGTTAAGTTTCTTTGCTTCCTTGCTTCTTTTCTTACCAATTCTATCAGATGGCTTCCATGTGAACATTAAAATGAGATCATTTCATACTAATGTATATTCTTCCAACAAGCATTTTGTTGTTCAAAATAATTGAGA